TTGTGGTTGATAAACTTAGCGTAAGTATATTCTTATTAATTAATAATGCTTAACTTTTTATTTCATTTTGATTCGTATTCACTTTTCGGGTTTTCTTTGAGATAGATTGGAATGGACCTCCGGGTGACGCATTATTTGTTTGGATCCATCTAACTGTGCGCCACTCATACAATCGGTGGAAAACTGATTGCCACACATTATATAAGAAGCAAGTCATCTCCCAATTCCAATGAACTTTGTACGTCGGCCAAATCAGTGGGATTTTTGTGCATGCTTTTTGAGAAATAAACATGGAAGGTATTTAATGAGTAAATAACTAAATATATAAATAAGCGTTTCTCATGTTGTAGAATAAATCAAAGAGAATGACGGAAGCAAGGTTGTCAAAAAATAGGATCGAGCATAAATCGGGACCGACTTTGTTCCGATTTAGGGCTAATAACCTTGAAGATACCGAACACGTGGCTCCTTATCTTGGTACAATTGCCGAGAACACTACAAGTGAAGACCGTAAAGTAGGTAAACTTGAACTTTTATTTTTGTACGATCATGATTTGTATATTTTTTTTCCTTTGCTATCCAGCATCACTTTTTCACCTTTGACATCCGTTTTAGCTTAGATTCATTCTGAATTTACAGAAACTCAAAACTTAAAAGTTGTACGATCGTTTATTAGCTTTCTAGATCATCTTTAATCATTTAAATCCAAGCTCGTACGAGTGAGATATGCTCGACATACCATAGTCTCGCAAAGCTGTCAAAAATTATTCTTTTATCTCTTTTTCGTTCCAACTTTTCCAACCCTTTAAAAATATAAAAACATTTTTACCATTTTAACTAATTAATGAGGGATGATTGATGGGAAATATATAATTGTAATTAAAACAATTGTCTGAATCGTATTTACAGAAACTTGTTGAAGAAGAGATTGAGAAGATTAAGAACTTTTTTTATGGCATTCCAGAATTGTGGGGCCTCCAATTCGTTGCCCAATCGAAAAAGAAATATCAATAATCGAGCAAATTGTTTGTCCGCCAGTAGGAACGGTTATTCGAGGTATGGGTACCTTGGCGGTTCAACCAGCGAGAATGAGAGGACCGGCGAAGGGATTCTCTAAGCCGGTATCTTCAGTTGACGAGGAAGATTTGCGGTGACAACTTGCCAAGCGCAACGAGAAGATTCACTTGCTAAAAGAGGGACAAAACGAGGCAAAAAAGTTAGTCGCCGAGCAAAGAAAGATGATACAATCGTTGATGAGTATGTTGGATGCAAGTGATTCAAACTCTAACTCAACAACTCCGACCTCTCACACTTTAGGTTAAGTTTTTAATTTTGTGCTATTGAACGTGTTGCCTACTTTTAGACTTATTTAGGAAAAGTATTATCTTTCAATTATTGAACTTATTAATTTTGTTTGGTTATATAAGTTGTTTGTATAAAACATTTGGTTGCTTGTTTGTAGAAAATATGTTTGTTTGTTTATGAGATTCATTTGTAGAAAGTGTGCAAGAAAAAACTGCATCATGGTACACAAAAATCTTAGGCAATAATTAAACAATAGAAATGTTGCCTAAAAGAAATATTATATTATTTTAATTACAATTCAAAGGCAACATATCTAAATAGATTATGTTGTCTAAGTTGATATCTAAAGCAACATATTGAGATAGAGTATGTTGTCTAAGCTAATATCTAAGCCAACATATGTAGATAAATTATGTTGTCTAAGCTGATATATAAGTCAATATATGCAGATAGATTATGTTGTCTAAGATGATACCTTATACAACAAATACATATAGAATATATTGTCTAAGCTGAAACCTTAAACAACATATGTTTTTTACTTAGGCAACATAACCTTTTGTGTGTTGCCTAAGAAGTTCGCTTAGACAACATATTATGTTTGCATATGTTGCCTTGGTTCCTATGCAACATCGAGAAGGCAACACTGCTTTGGCAACACGAGTTTGTTGCCTAAAGCTAGCCTTACGCAACATATAAACCCCTCTTAGATAACATATTTCATTTGTTGCCTAAGTCGCATTTTGAGTAGTGTATACAACTGGTTAATGTGGTAAAATAATAGAAAAGTCTAAAAAAAGCCAACGAACTTTAATATTTTAAATGATCAAGTCCCTAAATATATTTTGAACAAAAAAAATTACTTACATTTATAATGAAACAAATATACCAAAAAATTACTTACATTTAAAAAAATTACTGATGAAATTTATTTTAATAAAAAATAATATATATTGTCAGTGATTTTTTAAATTAAGAAAATAAAAAAGGATTTAAAAAGGATTACTGATGAAATTTATTTTAATTAAAAATAAAATATATTTCATTGGTGATTTTTTTCAAATTAAAAGACTAGAAAATAATTTGATTAAATTACTGACGGATTAACGATAAAATTTAACTAAATATATAATTAATTAAAATTTATCGCTAATCCGTCGGTGAAATGATTTCACCAACAAGATTCAAGCACGATCTTTCACAATTATTAACATGTTCCTATATTAGAACGTTTGACGGTGATCAAGTTAGCCATCAATTAGATATAAGTAATCCATGCATATATACCAATGAACACTAGTGACGAATTTTAATTAAATATGTATTTAGTTAATTTTTATTGTTAATCAGTAATTTAATAAAATTATTTTCTATTTTTTTTATTTAAAAAATCACCAACAGAATATATTTTATTTTTAATTAAAATAAATTTCATTATTAATCCTTTTTTTTATGGGAAAAATCGAAATATATTTGTAATTAAAATATATTTAATCAGTAATTCTTTTTAAATTTTTTTTATTTTTTTAATTTTGAAAATCACTGACAAAATATTTTTTTAATTAAAATAAATTTCATCAATAATTTTTTTATAGGTGAGTACTTTTTTGTAAATATAGATACTTTTGTTGGTATATTTGTTTCATTTTATAGACGTAAGTACTTTTTTGGTTCAAAAAATGTTTAAATACTTAATCGGTCAAAATATGAAAATACATTGGTTTTTTTCACATTTTTTTCATTATTTTACCACATTAACCATATATACTTGGCTAGAAATTTGTCATTTACTTTCAAGTTGGGGTTAACTAAAATCGAATAATCCATGAGAATCGAATGCGATTTGGGTTATTCGGTTTTCGGGTTAAACAATTTGGTTAACTAAATAAGGATCCTTATTTAGTTCGGTTTTCCGTTCATTTTTTCTATTAAACCGAATGAACGGAATAACACGTTCTACTCATAATTTATATATTTCCTTTTTATAAAAATAAAACCAAATACATAGTATACTAATTATTTTACATATTTTGTTGTTATATAATATTTTTGTTTGATGGTAAATAGTGTTTTTTGTTATATTATGTTTTTTACTTGATATAATTCATGGCATGAAAAAGGTAATGTATTTTGGTAGTTATTGGTTTTTGGTAGATTATGTTTTTAAGTTAATACATGTCAGTTGTTGAGTATGAATGCATGATACAATTATATATTAGAAGCACTATATAGGGTCGGAATTGAGAAAATTATTTGAGCAAGTGCCCAACGAAAAACATGGACTCTTATTCGCTTTAACCGGTTATCGGACCGAATAAACCGAATGAAAAATAACCTGAAACATATTAAACCCAACTTTATTTGGTTTAGTTATTGGTTAGTTTAAAAAAATCTAAAGATCAACCCGAATCAAATAAACCAAAAACCAATTTAATGGTCCAAATAACATCCCTAGTTTCAAGGACATACAAGGGGCTTACATGAAGAAAAGACCATTGCGTTCGAAAAAATTCCCATCGCAAAGGCTGACATGTTCCCCAAGATGTTATCATTCGCAAATTCAAAAAATATTGCTCAAATTTGATACATTTTAGGAGACGCTATAGTGCCACTATATGTAGCTCTTATATTTTGTGGGTTTTATGTTAATGGATGATGGTGTTAGGGAATCTCATTAAGACAAAGCTATGGAATCCCTAGCCAGTGCCAGAATGTATCAAGAGGTTACTAGGAAGAAAATTGAATTCAAAATGGAAGCTTTCGTATGAAGGTGGAATATTAAAAAAGGTGATAAACAAACCTCCTCTCTTCAGATGACTTGCGAACAAACACTTCAATTGTATTATAAGATTTCAAGCACATAACACAGGTGAACACGATCACCCTAGGCGACTTAGTGTCCAAGACACTTCAATTGTATTATAAGATTTCAAAACTGTTGGACGTGACCATGGACGCAATCTTAGCAAACTTGCATCGCAACTGATCTCTCAAGATGTAACGAGAGTGGCTGGTTCTAGCTAGGCGACTTCCTGAACAATTTCCCAACACACTTTTGATGTAAAGAGTGTTGGTCTAAGTGTTAGGAGATTTCTTCATAAACGTCACATGTGCCTTGGAAATTGTGCTTGACCTCTAGGTCATTTTAATTTGGATACGGATCAACCATTGTATAAGTATAAGCCATATCTTGACTGATGCAAAAGGCTTAGGGAACCAATACTGAGATAAAGTCGCTAGCCTTTTTGTGAGAAAAACTTGTGCTTATAGAGTTCTTGTAACCATCTTTCATATTTTATGAATACAACATGCTCCTTTATGGGATGTATACTACCTAAACAATTGTTAACCCAGCAAATCTGTCTTCAAGCTCAGTTTGATTTTTTGTAGCTTCCAAATTTGGTTTGATAGTCATCGTTGTATTTTGATCCATGCTATTTGTGCACCCTTGTTGGTAAGTTCACATACTTATCGTTTAAGACTTGCGTATTCATTCCAGCAATTTTTTCTGACAAATAACAATATTGTTAAAGCTTTTGTCCAGGTAGCTTAGCAAAAGAAAATGTTAAGTAGTAGCCCTTAAGTAATACATCCATTAGAACATTAATCTTTAGTATGTATTTATATAAACAGTCCCTTGTTATGACAAGCTTAAAGAGTCCCAAGTGTATCAGTTTTAACCCAAAATCATTATTTATACAATCACGCACAAACTTCGCAGATGACTAAGATCTACTTCATGATCATAGCCTCGGAAAAGACAAAAACAGATGACTAAAAACACCTACATACATATCTAATCAAAAACACCTACATACATATCTAATCAATCTTACAGTTGATAGCATTATTTTCTTTGGATGGGTAAACGGAAAGGATTTAAACCCACCACTTCTAGCAGTACCATCTAAGGTTTTAACATTCTCATGTCAAATGCGAGATGGGTTAGTGTCGTAGTCATCAATGTGAAAGCTGTATGGGCCAATCACATCATTGTAAACGTTGTCAGAAAACATATCCTGATGAATGTTTCCGAGCTCCAAGTTTTCGAATGGGCAAAGTTGTCTCCAAAAGCACTGAAGATCTTCAATTGTTCCTGGTGAACTTACGTCATGATGATCAGCTATAAATTCTACTCCATATCCTTTGGGGGTAGGGACGCTGTTGGATGAAGAATTATCATCTTCTGATGTCCACGAGAAGAGGGGGTTGGGGATATCATTCACATGATTAACATGCTCTTGTATTTTCTCAACATTATGAGCTTCAAAACATGATGACACGTTCATATCATTTTGCGTGGGTTTTTTAGGCATAGGGTTGTTAGGTAAAAGTTTCTTTAGATGTGTATGCCAGTAATTTTTAATTTCGTTGTCACTTCTTCCAGGAAGTCTTGATGCAATTGCAGACCATCTGTGAATAAACCAAGAGAAGAGAAATATATTAGATCAATATGGATTCAATATCTCAAAAAGAAACATCATTTACGAGTATGGTATGGGTCAAACAACAAGTTTATTTGGTTAAAGAATCATTCACGCAGAAACATCCGCCATGTTATGGCCTCAGTATATATGTATACCTATTGCCAAGAATTGAATGAAAAAGGAGTATGCTTCGTTCTTCTTCTTTAGAGAAACTCCCTTTCTTTAGGTCAGGCTTCAAATAATTCATCCATCGAAGCCTACAACTCTTTCCACTTCTCGACAAACCTTCAAGTAAAGGAAAACAATCATAAGACAACCCAAACAAAACCAACATCTTTTATTGGTCTTTCTCTCTTTTGGTTAGGTTTTAATTCGACATCACTTTATTTAGAAAAGAAATCCATGACCAAAAAAACCTGTTTATTAGATTTACCAGCGAATTTGGGCATATGAGACCAGTTCCAGATGCCATATCTGTTTATATACGAAATCAGCTTCTGATCTTCTTCCAGGTCCCATGCACCTTTCTTCAAACCCACCTTTATCTCCCCATTTGGAGTCCTCATCACTTCTAAATACCAGATATATTTTGAAGCATACAAATTGCAGTAAGTACAATGACGGGATGCCCAAGTGCGAGGGCTATTATATATAATGGTATCCTGTAATGGTCAAAAAATGGGGCAGTGGCTTTATCCAAATTCGTTGAAATTTTGGTTAGTCAAACTAATGACAATGTACATGATTTTTATATCTTTACAATTTAAGTTTAATGACGATATGATCAAGTAAACAGTCTTTTAAATACTGATTTGATTATTTACTTTTTAAGACCCAGACGCCATGATTAACTTTTGTGTCATTCATCCAACTACAAGCACCAAATAATGCGTTCAACGACACTATTTGCACTCATTTGGTTCTTCATAATGCACCCATATATTTAGTTTTGAACAAAAGATGACCCAAAATAAACACGTTTACCTATGGGGTTTTCTTTTGAAAATTTGTTGTTAAACGGGTGTCACAAAAGTTGGTAGGTTAATTGTTTGTGGAAAATTCAAATCAGCCGACAGATTATCGAGTGATTTTCTCGGTGATCTGTTGGCATTTTGTTCAAAAACATCGGGTTCTACCAGAACCATTCGTATTTTCTGGGTGATCCGTCGGTAATTACTGACATAAGTTTTCGTGAATGATATTTTATGAGTAAAAGTCATTTGTTTTATAGTGTACATGCATCAAGGTACCAAACCAATTAGATTTTTTGTCATGGTGGTTTTGATGTGAACCTAACTTCTTATCCATAGACTACATCCCAATGTTATGGTCTCTCGTAACGCAATCAAATTATAATTATAGGCAACAACCAACTTGTTATTGACAGAGTGCACCATTTTGTTAAGGTCATGGCTATTGTAGAGCTAACTAGGACATGCCCAACATCAATATGGACTATATGGTCCTAGCGTTCAGCTTACCAACAAGTTAATATGATGACACCTATATATGCACAGTCAAGGTCGACTTCTAGTTACGGTTAGTATTATAGTACACAACCTAGGTTTGCCGAGAAAACACCAATAAGTAATCAGACTATGACCAATATGTCCCTCCTCAATCAGGTGGTTACTTATGCAATGCTAAAGTATACTAAGGATTGAAATATATGCCAAAGCTTTTGTGTTAAGTTATTGTTTAAAGAAAACACATATATTCAGTTTAAGAACCCTTACAATGAAAATAATTGATCTAAAGAAACTAATGACCTAGATTACATTGTTCTCCATCATAAGCATCATTCGAGATGCTCTCGAGATATCTTCGTTAGACATTCTTTTCCCTAAAATCAAACTATGGGAAATCAAACTATGGGAAATCAAACTTTCCATGTGAAGTTTTGAATATTTGCATCCAATTAATGAAACTTCACAATGAAAACAGTTGTTCAAAATAAATGAATGACTTTGATTACACAACATTATTAAAAGCATCATTCAAGCTAATCCGGTGATCATCTTCATTAGACATTCTTTGCATTGTTAAAATCTTCATTCAAGATAATCTCATCTTCATTAGATATTCTTTTACTTGAGATCAAAGTATGTAAACCCTAGATTAGAGCACACATTTTTATAAATCCACATATGGAAGTAGAGAAAGAAGTAAATCTAAGCATAACCTATAAATAAACCAAATTTCAAAAAAGAGAAAGATTGAATATTAAAAAAAAAATCATGTATTAGATTTGTTTACTCTTGAGTAATTAAGAGAAATCAATGACAGTTGAAGTTAAAATTGATAAAAGATTGGCTGATGCAGTCATATGGGTAGATGATTTAAGCAAAAATCGACAAACAATTTACTTAGAGAGTACTTGAACCCAACAGAGGTGCAATCGATTGGACTTTCACAGGAGAGTGAAACCGTGGATGGGAGATGACGCCTGAAATTGGAGAGTGAGGGTTCGTTTTCTTTGATCTTGAGCAAAGTAAGAAAAAGTAAGGTTATTAGGTCAAAAATACGCTTTTAAGTTTAGTTGAAAGAATTAAACCATCATATCAACCAAGCGTTAAAGTGATAAATGGTTTGGAGTTGATCTTACCGGTCTCACAAAAAAACCATTGGTCTCACCAAAACTCAACCCTATATATCTATATCTATACCTATATCTGTATAGAGGTTCAATCATGTGAGGACCAAAAATGGGTTGAGAACCTTTATGACTAATCCTTCATATCAAAGAATGACTTATTGGAATGGGAATGGATGAAGCGGGGTGGAGGAGGGGCGAGTACTACACGAGCTCGTAAGTAAAGGACCAGCTCATCGTAGTGATTAGAGGACTCCTCTGATCGTTCACCTCTAATCCATAGATTAGTTTAAATCAAGGCTCATTAAAGAAATAAACATATGTGTAATAAAATGGTGAAAGAAGGATATTTTGTCAAATTAAAAGTAAATTGAAAGGGCATATTCGGCTAGATTCACCCTCCTCACCAAGTCAATCAAAACACAACATGGATCTAGGAACTACATACCCATCAGCCACAACTCCAAGTCCGGCTGCCTCCACCATCGGCAATTCCAACCACCTTGCTCGACCTGTTGCTTCCTTTGTTTCTCCTCGAAATCAAATCGTCCCAACCACAAATCTATTGGTCCTTGGAAATAAGAGCCACAATTTTGTTCTATCCCAACCATAAATCTGGAGGTGCTTCTCTCTCTCTCTCTTATAGTTTTGTTCCCAACCATAGTTTTGTTCATGAAAGAAATCAAATATCTGTGATAACCAGGTCCTGGTTATTACCTAAGGTATTTATTATGTGAATTAATTGTTTTTGTGGATACATGCTTACATGGGTTAATTACGTAAGTATGTGTATATCATGCATGGGATATATGCATAATATGTGGGTATTGTTGATCCTCTCTCTCAGTGATTTGATGATAATCCCTTTTAATCTATCGATGAAATTTTGTTTCTGTATTTTCAGTTCCAGCGATCAGACACTGAGTATGTTCAGTGATCGCTGAGGAACTTGCTTTGTAAATCTCATAGACAAACAATACTTCAAGAAGACTACACTCACACCAAAGAACCTTCAGCGAATGTCGAAGACTGAAACTGAAGATTA